TCTTGCATAACTTTTTAAACTTCCTTTTTAAATTCAGGTTATTTAGAGATTTGTTCATGTTGACACGTGGACATTTCATTCATTTACCTAGTTGTATTTAATCCATTTTCTGAATCAACCTCAACGTATTTGTTCTTTATCTTATTGAAGCAAAATTAGATTGCTTCTAATTTGTTGCTTTAACAAATAATACTACAACAACAATCATTCTTGGATATGTTCCTTATTCATATATTTGAAAGTATCTCTGTAGGGCAGTGGTTCTTAATTGGGGGTGATTTTTACCTTCCAGCAGTCATTTAGCAATGTTTGGAAACATTTTAGATTGTTAAGAGTGGGGTGAGGGTACTACCAGCATTTAGTGCAAACAGGCCAGAGATTCTCCAAACATCGTACAGTGCAAGGACAGACTGACTCCCTTTCCACGCTCATCCCCAATAAAAAAAGTTAAAAATTATCTCAAATGCTAGAGTTCCAAGATTGAGGAACCTTGCTCTGGGTATACTAAGAAGTAAAATTAACTTAGGCTGCTGTGTGTAATGTTTATGTTTTGCTATTAAAAGAAATAATTTCTATAAAACACAAAGAAAATATTTTTAATTCAAGTGAAATGTCTAGAATATCTGAAGTTAAATTGAAGCTTCTCTTTGGGGACAGTGGCACTCACCTCAAACCAGCCTGTTTAGCAGCATTGTCCAGGTATAGCAATTCATTCACTTACCTAGAGTGTGCCTGTAATCTTTCAGTTTTGGACTGAAACAGATGGTACTTCCTTCCTGATTAAAAAAATCAATATTAGCAATTTAGGCATTAGCTACCTAAAATGAGGGTGCAATAAAGGCACAAAGTAACTGGCTTATAAGTTTTCAAGAGGGAGTTTAGTTTAAGAGTGTGCAGGAGAAGGTAGATTTCCCACTGAATAGTTTTCATCTTTTCTGGGCAGGTCTGGTGAAAAGAGATGGGGACTTATCCTATCCTATGATTCAGTAGTGAGAAATTGTTATCATAATTAATTGTGACTGTCACAATTGTAAAGGTAGAAGTTTTGTAACAAAAACAGGAGAATAGTTAATCTTACAGTCCAGAAACAGGACCCTAGGACCATCAAGAGAGAAGAGCACAAGCAGAGTGTGGGATCCTAGCCAGAGAAGCAGCGACACCAGAGATGAGGCAGCGATGACTTGGAGAGAGGGAGCAGCTGAGGACTCTGGACTCATGGAAAGAGAGGGACTTAGTGCTGGCGGCCAGAAGGCAGGCTTGCAGAACGTGCCTTTTTGTTGTTTAAATTATTATACATTCTGAGTGTTTCTGTGTACAATCCTCCCCCCGCCCCCCCAACTTCAAAACACTCACACACAAAAAAAACCCGGGCATGGAAGCAAATACTGTTGAATGATGATGCACAGAGGAGATTGTAATTATTGCAATGAAATGATGCTGTAAAGCCGATGTTCTCCTATATAAATTATCACTCAGTTCACAATAAAAACTTTAAAAAAGATGTGAATATTTGAGAGAGTGTATGTTTTAAAACATTGGCACTTGTACAGACAGTAACAGCATATATTTGCTGAAGGTGCTAACCAAATGAGAAAAAAACTGTAGCATTAAAAAGAGTTTTTCCCTCACGGAAGTACTTATTAAATATTGAAAGGTTAAAGGTTTTAAAAGTCTCTCTTTTTAGTATGGTTTAAATTCCATTTTTAGTTGAAGACAGATAAATGAACTTAATGAATTCTGAGACCCACTTTTAAGCCTATAAAGTATATGGCCTCCTTTGACAAAAGCTATGGTTTCAGGAGTATGTTCATGTTTGGATATATACAATTTTGTGTGTGATTTTAGATCCCATGTGCATGCTCCTGAAACTTATCCATGAGCCCTTCACTGGGACCTCCAGGTTAAAAACTTCACTAAAAATTTATTAAAAGTCTTTAAGGGCTAGATATAAGATATATTTGAAATTAACACTAAACAGTCAAGATACAACAGTACTGTGGCTTCTTTGCCAAATGCAGACGTGTCAGTGGTAAATAAGTGACTTGGAATTAGAGTTCTTCTAGGCCTCCAACATTAAATAAATAAGAACGTCTTATTTTTTCATCAGAAGCCCTAATTTTTCTTTCTTTCTTTCTTTTTCTCTCTAGATATATGCAGCAGTACTATGGCAACAAGCTAACAAAAGCAGGGAAAATTCAACTGAAAAAGCTTGTTTTGGAACTGACCTTCCAGAAGAAAAGCTTAATGACTTTCGTGATGAACAAATTGGACAGTTGCAGGAGCTCATGCAAGAAACCACAAAACCCAATAAGCAGTTTAGTATTACTGAGTGTACAAAACCAAAATTTTAGTGTATATAATAAAGCCTAACAAAGATTTTAAAGAACAAGTCTTCATTTTAACTATCAATGGTTGGGGGGAAAAATTTCTTCATTTTTTAGGCTTTGAGAATATATACTGGAGTCCTGTTGAGGCACTGTAGGATCAGCACTGGACTACTAACCACAAGGTCAGTGGTTCAAACCCACCAGCTGCTCCTTGGAAACCCTATACAGGGTCCCTATGAGTCAAAACTGACTTAATGGCACTTACCAACAATAGTTCATCAGATACTCTTTTATTTGGGGATATTATAAATGCTTTCTGCAATATATGGAGCAGCATCTCTAATAGATAAAATTTTACATTATTAGAATAACATACTTTCTAAAATGGATAAACTCCTGGGATTTTGCTGAAAATTTCTTATATGTAAATTTCATGTGATGCCATCCTTGATTTGCCTTATGAATTTCCTGTAGTGTTGCCAGATCAACATGCTACGTATAGATGTGGAATTGTCACAGGGCTATTATCATTCTGCGTTATGATTCTGAACGTTGCATCATTTCTACTATAGCAATACATATATGCTTATTCTTTTGGAAGTCCTTCCTCCTTGAGTTGTATTTATTCACAATGAAAGGTTAGAGAAGCTTACGATTTAGTATCATACTATCATTTGTATAATAGATTATATAGAGTATAATACATAATTATGTTGTTGTTGTTATATGCCATGGAGTCGGTTCCGACTCATAGCGACCCTGTACAGGGTTTCCGAGGCTGTAAATCTTTATGGGAGCAGAACGCCTCATCTTTCTCCCGCGGAGCAGCTGGTAGTTTCGAACTGCTGACCTTAAGGTTCACAGCCCGATTTGTAACCACTACGCGTACATTACTATAGTATTTGTTAATAAGAAATGACCCCATAAATAAAATAATTTGTAGTTGCCCTGAGAATCTCATGTGTTGCTTAATGGTTGAGAAGATAAATATATTTCCATAATATTTTCTTGCACTTAAGTTGATTTAGAAACTAAAACAATAAAATGGTAAACTCATTCATACAGAACATAAATTATGAATTGTTAAAAATATGAGTTAAAATGATCTGTTTCTTCAGTTCTGGGTGTTTGTTGTGAGGTTCTGAAGGGATCATTTTTCAGATGCAGTTGCATTTATGTCAGCTCTTTGCAAACGATTCATGTTTTCTGTTTCTAGTTTTTTGTCTCATGAACTCTGTATGTTTGGTTTCCAGACCCCTTAGTTCTTTCTTCCATTCCCCTTTGAGTCAGTCTGTCAGTTGATCGGTTGGTACTTTCTTGTAGGAAATTGTCAATTAATAACAATCTCTACATGATAAAGGTCTCCAGAGATACCACAGTGAACAAGATAACATCCATGTCCTCAAGAAGTTTAACATTTAGTTGTGTGTTCATAAACCTTATTTCATTATGAATAGATACAAAGGTGAGTCAAAAATTATCAGTACTCTAACTGTAGAATTTATTTTAATCAACTTTTAAAAAACACAAATGCATTTTTTTTCTACACAATCTCCTTGCTTTTCAATACACTCTGTCAAATTAACGTGTCAATCTTTCAATACTCCATTATTGAAAAATGTTTTAGGCTGAGCTGTAAGTGCACCGCTATCTTTACTTCTTCATCAGAGGTGAACCTTCATCTTCAAAGGGCTGCTTTCAGGGGACCAAACAGGTGAAAGTCTGATGGAGCAAGATCAGGACTATAGAGAGGATGCTTTAATTCGTCAAAATGAAGTTTTGCAGTGTCAGCAGTGTGGGCAGAGGTGTGAGCACGTGCATTGGGATCTTGAGTGTGCCCTCTGGCCCTGGGTTTCTTGTTCTGTCAGGCTGATATGCCAGGCTACAATCCTGCAAAGAACTGATGACTATGACAATAAGGCGAACAAACACTTGTAGAGACTGTTCAATTACTATGCAGCAGAATAGGTGACTGGCCTACTGAGGTGATTGGCCAGTTTGTGGTATTGTGGAGGGGCAGGCTTATAAAAGGACCAATCAGACAAAGGCTGAAAAGGACCTCACTACCATTGAAGAATCTGGTACAGAATGTTTTCTTTTGGCTCCAGGGTCCCAGCAGTGAGAACATTCTAGACCCAGGAGACATAGAAAGCTGTGACGCTAGATATGGTATGAGAAGGCAGGGTGGCCTTGCTGACCTGACTCAGGAACAAGAGCGCTGAGAGCCTTGGGCCAGAGGCTTTTGGGCAGAGTGGGATGCCTTTGGGGATTAGTAGACAAAGCTGAAAAGCTGAAACACTTACCTGAGTAGGACAGAAGCCAGACCTGAGTGCATAGCATGGCAGTGTTCTGCATCCTACTTTGGCGAATAGCAACTGCAGCCTTAAAAGCTCTTGAGTGACCATTTAAGGGTGCAATTATTGGTGTTTTCCATCCAGAGCAAAGAAGAATGAAGAAAATCAAAGATGTATAGAAATAATTAGTCTAGTGGAATTCAGACACCTCAGTTTCTCCAACCTTGAGACTAGAACTCAACAGTGACTGACTACTACTACCAACAGCTCTGAAAGGGGCTTCTGGATAGAGTAAGAGAAAATATGGAACAACGCTCAAAGTCATAAAAATGGCAAGGCTTACTAGTTGGATAGAAACTGGTGGAACCCTGAGACTATGGCCCGGACGTGAACTTACCCCCTTGGCTCAATTTTCAGCCAAACGATAGGTCTATAAGGTAAACAATTGCACTTCTTAGACGAATCAACCATTTGAGGTTTTTTTTTTTTTTAAGTTGGCATTTGTTCAGGAAAGAAGGAGAAATGGAAAAGGGAAACCAGGCGGGGGGAGGATTGGGATAAGTAAGCTTACTTATGGGGGCTGTGGTCAATGTCATGGAACAACGTGTATGAATTGTTGAATGGAGTACTGATTTGTTTGGTAAACTTTTACCCAATTCACAGTAAAATTTATGAAATATTCCTAGAAAAAATTCTAGGCCTAAATAACTTCTTTGTTGAATTCTAAATATTCAAGACAAATTCAGCCACATGACCTATTCAGTCTTATGACAGGAATCTAAAGTTGAGAAAATCAATCCGTATAGTTCAAATTTTATTATCAAATTAAAGTAGAATTAAGTATGATCATCTCATCAGCTATAGAAAAAGTATTTGCTAAATACTCAACATATACATTCATGATGAAAATGTTCTTAACAACGTATAAAGAACACTTCATCAATCTAATTAAAGAATTTCTGCCAATCATCTACAGCAAACCTTATGATGAACCATTAAAAGCTTCCTATTTGAGATTGTTATCACTTAAAAAAAACCACCAATAAACTTTTATTCTCAAATAATATGATTGTATAATTAGGAAACTTAAAAGAATCTAGCTGGTAGTTAGTGGTTACGAGTAGAGCTGTTAACTTCAAGGTCGCCAGTTTGAAACTACCAGCCGTTTGCGGGAGAAAGATGAGGCTTTCTGCTCCTGTAAAGATTTACAGCCTCGGAAACCCTGTACAGGGTCACCATAAGTCAGAACCAACTCCACGGCATACCACCACCACCACCTAACTAAAGGGAACAATGAATAATTGTGATTACATTAATATATTTTCATCAAAAGTAGGAAAGAGTAAAAATGCAAGTCTCACAGTGTGACAAGATAGTGGCAGCACATATAATGTAAAAAGGAATGATAAGCACTTGATTACAGATCGGTTTGAACTGAAAGGCTGGCAGTTCAAATTTATAATCTGCTCCTTGGAAACCCAATACAGGGTCGCTGTGGGTCAGAATCGAATCGATGGCACTTTTAACAACAACAAAGAATTCCTATACACCAATGAGAAAAATGTACACTCTAATAGGAAATTGAGCCCCAAACTGAATTCCCAAATTCAGGTAATCAAATAGATCTGGGCTTCTGTAGTTTTTAAGAGCTCTCTAAGAAATTCTGATGAGCTTCTGGGATTGAGTTCCATTGTTTCATTAAAAAGGAGTCCTAGTGGCACTGTAGGATAAGCACTGGACTGCTATTGCCAGATCAGCAGTTCAAATCCACCAGTCACTCCACGGGAGGAAGATGAAACTTTCTGCTCCCATGAAGATTTACAGCCTTGCCTACCCTATATGGGGTCACCATGAGTTGGAATTGACAGTGAGTTTGGTTTGCTTTTTTCATTGGCCTTATTAAAAGGAAGAGGTCAATAACAGCAACAAACCTTGAATGACTAAAAAAAAACTGAAAAAAGAATGATTTTATTTCCTTTTTTTTTTCCATTTCCATTTTTAGGGATCAACCACAGGTTTTCTTTTATTTAGCATAATTTTAGGAGGTAGCATATGGTCAAGAACTGATGGTACTGAAGAAAGAAGTCCAACCTGTACTGAAGGAATTGGTGGAAAACGAGGTTCCAGGAATTGAAGAATACCAGTGGAGACAGTGCTGGAGGTACTCACCTATTCCAAGAAATTTGGAAGACAGCTATCTAGTCAACTGACTGGAAGAGATCCAGGTTTGTGCCAATTCCAATGAAAGGTTATCCAACATAAGCAAATTATTGGACAAATCACTGATATCACTCAAGTAAAACCATTTCGAAGTGAATGTAAAATGAAGGATATCATTGATGATGTCAAATGGATCTTGAAACAGAACACCTAAAAGAAGTTTTCCAGTGTTCTATCAAAGGCAGTGTTCTATCAACTGTGTGAATCAGAACAAATTATGGAAAACATCACAAAGAATGAGAATTTGAAGAGACAGTCACTTGAACAGAACAAGAGAATACTGTGTGTTTTAAAATTGTAAAGTCTAGACTGATAGGGACCCAGTGTAAAGTTTCTGAGGTTTTCAAATCTTGGGAGCAGAAAGCCTCGTGTTTCTCCTATGGAGTGGCTGGAAGCCTTGAACCATTGACCTTGTAGTATACATCCCGGTGCTTATCATCACTTGGAGCCACTGCACTCCCCTGTTTAAAATTAGGTTTGGTTTTTTGATTGGCAAAAACATAAAAGCAT